AAACAAACCCAGGTCCAAAGAAGAAGCGCTCAGGCAGCCTCTCTTCAGGAACCCCTGGATCAGAGACGAGGGGGGCCAACAGTGGACAATTTCCTGCAGAGGCAACAGATGGCTATCATGGATCAAACACGGCGTCTGGAGAGTAGGGGACATATCGAATGCAGAAAGGAAGAACTGGTTGGACGAGAATGATCTGAAAACCCGATCTGAAAACACGGCGTCTGGTACGGACGAAAATCTTCAAAAAATCATACAGAGCATACCTGGTAGCTGGGTAGAGCTACTTACGGAGAATTTCACATGGAAACCGAGCGAGTGGGGAGTCCAGGACACCTCCCCTGAAAAGACCTATCAATTCTCCCATCAATTACCAGTACCAGGTCCACAAGAAGTTTTCACCTCCTTCCCGATTCTGAAGACCAAGCCAGACGAACTTCGTATCCAGAATATCGATCCCAAAAAAATAGTGCTGAATGCTTTCACTCTCCGCAAAATAAGAGTGTTAGGATTCTGGCGAAAACAGATCATATTCCAAATTGGAACAGTGATTCAAGATCTCGAGTTCGACTCTTTAGAATGCGCACCGCCCCCCGACAGAAACAAAACTGCCAAACCACCAATTCCAATCTCCCAATTCCAATCTCCGAATATACGGTCAAACTAGGGTACAACCGTACAAGATGCTATCAAAAACAAAGGAGCCATACCCGACAATCAAAGGAAGATGGAGCAAGCTAATTGGCTCCGATGCAAGAATCCATGGAAATACAAAACGATAAGACCAATCAAGATCAGGAGGACGCCGTGGCTGATTACATGACATGCTGCCCTGCCGTTCAACCAGTGGCTTCATGTTAGAAGAAGGAACTTCAAGGAAGAACAATCCAACCAGCTCTGACATCTGGGTCGTCTGCTCGGATCAAGAACAGGAAGATATGATACATTGCCTAATCAACTGTAAAGAAGCCACAGAATAATGGGCGAGAGCGGAAGCTCTATGGGACAGTCTATTTCCGTCTCCCCTCCCTGAACTAACTTTAGTAAACCAGAGATTACCCTCTGGTTTACTAAAGTTACCCTCCGTGAAACTGCTCCTCTGGATTGGCAACAACTCTGACAAGTCTTCAATTTTTTCAGCTGAGGAATACCCAGGGACACGAGGCACCAACTCCCCGATCTGGGCATAGAAGAGCATCATCCAAGGATGACGCACGAGAGGTGACAGTAGTGGAGCGGCCGGAGCCACATGGAACAGACTGGCAGCAAGAAGACAGGAAGGCTCACATTCCAGGGTCGATAACAAAGGGATGAACTGGATGATACCGGCAGCCCGTTTCTTGAGTAATCCTGTGTCCCAAGCTCAATATGGCAGCAATGCTTAACAGTGGCCGACAGGATTCCTAGAGGGATGGCAAACTGACAGTCAATCCTCCATGTGATTGTAGTAATCAATGTTGCTCAGGGGTCTTTCGGCCAGACGGAAGGTAGCATGAGTGTGTGAATTATTGTAATTCCATGACTTGCCGGGGGAAATGAACCGGACTGACGCTCCCCAGAATGGATATGGAGCCAGAACCATAAGGCCCTGTTTTACTTATTAAAAAAAATAATAATAAAAAAAATCAACATTGCCGACAATTATTTTCACATGGATAAGCATGGCTTCGTCCCATTAAGATACATCCTAAACAATGTGATGACACTCAGCAAAGTCACCAAGAAAGAAAAGAGGAACAATTCAGGTGGCCTGGTGGCCATAGTTTTCTTTTACTTTGCCAAGGACTATGATCAGGTGGGTTGGACCCTTCCTGCACCTTTGCATGGAACAAATTGGGGTAGGCGAAGACTTTGGGAAGAGGGTACAAGAGTCCAAGTCTCATATAATGACGCGTCAGAGGTGGTCCAGCTGAACAGCAAACTCAGTCTCATATAATGACGCGTCAGAGGTGGTCCAGCTGAACAGCAAACTCTCCCACCCCTATGACATCATGCTAATTCAGTGCATCAGGGTGAGCACCCCCCCCCCCCCCCCCCCCCCCCTTCCCCTCTTCCTGTTTATCATGAAAGCCATGCCTCATTCCTAAGAAAAGACCCATCCACAGACAGACTGTCAGTGATCAAGGTGAAGGAAGAATGAACCACGCAGTATAATTTCTGACAGCGCTTGTTTGCAGAAGATCTGACGGTCCTGATCAGGGCTGCGAACTCTTCCTTTCAGGCCCTAATACTGGCTATGCCATCGAGTTGGCCTGCAACACTTCTATTCACCCGGCCATCCGCATGTCCCCCTTCGAGCCTGAGCATGGCGAGCCTGCCGACTTCCCCATTGCCTCCCACATTCTTCACACAGCTGAGAGCGACGCACCCCGCGCATTCATCCAGAGGATGCAGGACTCTGCCTGGCCTATGGAATGCGGGTGAAGGCCGAAGGCGCAAAGCGTCCTACTTCTACTCTTTCCAGGAGAAAGACAGTAGAATACCCTCTTCGCGTGAACAAAGTATTACATGATGAACCACACTCAACGCTTCCTTCCGTCTGGCCGAAGGAACCCTGACCAGCATTGATTACTCCTTCTGAGGATTGACTGTCAGCCTGCCCTAGCCACTTGTTCCTCTCAGGCTTCTAATCGTAGCCCGTCGAATGAGTCCCTGAAAAAATACGAGAAAAGTGGGGGGGGTCTGCTCCGTGTTCTGTTGCTTGTCCTTGTCCTTCACTGTGTGTCCAGTTAGCTTTGTTGTTGATCACCTTTCGGACCCTTCTGTCAGGTTGAGTGGCAGGAAACCTTATAATAGTCCTCTTGACTGTGCCTGGTGCCATTTCTTCCATCTCAACCTGTCATCAACTATCGTCGCCGCCTTGCCCTTTAGCAGCCAGTTTCTCGTGAAAGTCTGTTTCTTGGTTGTTTGTCCTTCTGGTCTGTGTCTCATCAAGGAGTTCACTATTCTCCTCCATCTGCTCCTGATTTCCGTCTCTGCCATGCTCAGCAGTAATGACCACATTTCTTCCCTTGCCACCTCTGCTCCCTCGATTGTCTGGGTGCATCTGCGTTTCCACATCGCCCACAGTGCCAGCCTCCTGGCCGGGTAAACCATACTTCCCTGCTGCCCGTGATGTTGCTGGGGATGTTAGTTAGGAGTGGGATAGAGAGAGGTGGGTTTTTTTTTGGGGGGGGGCGAGGCGAACAGGATCGACCACAGCCCTCGGACCTTCTTCCATATCCATGTCGCTCCTGGGCAGAAGAGGAGGCAGCGGGGGTTGTCTTTGGGTGAGTTGTTGCTGCACATTGAGCAGCATTCTGAGCTATCAGGGTCGGAATGTTTCCTTCTCACGTGTAGCCATTGGTTAACGGGAAGGGCTGCATGTGCCATTAGCCATTCCATACTGCAGATTCTGGTTGATCTGATGGGAAGGTAGTTGGTCCATGGAATGGTGATGGGGATCGTGGCATCTAGGTTCAGTATGGTTCTCCACTTCTCCAACAGCCTTGGATTCGGGTCCCTGATCTGTAGTCCGAGGTTGTATCTGAACTTTATGTCGTATTCTGTTATCGTCCTCGATTTCCCTGTCGTGCCCAGATCCCATATCCATTCCTTTGGGTCGAATTCCAGCTCCTTGATTCTGAGTTCCGGCTGGAAGATAATCCAGCGTTTCCTGTGAGAGACTCTAACCTTCCTCAGCGTGGTCTCCTCTGCTATTTAACAAGAATCCAGGGTTTCCTGTGAAGATAATCCCAGGAGGAGCCAGAACGGGCTTGAAACATCATCCCAAGAGATCTTCTCCTTCAATATGCACAGCATAGCTGATCTCCTTTTTCATTTTTATTTTAAAAGAGCAATGGGCTTGAAATATCATCTTTGAAATGACCGGCCCCAGCTAAATGTGGAGTTTTTTTTTTTCTTTTCCCCAAACAACAAAGGCCCCAGACAACAACGCCCCCTGCTCCAAACGGACCCAGAATCAAATTCAATAAATGCAGAGCTATTTTACTGATCTGATTCCATTGGGGCTCGAAATTAGGCCTGTATTTCAAGAGTTCATGGGTGCACCAACTGAGCTGGGGGCGATCAACCTCCCCATATAGAGAACACAGCTGGTCTCAAATTCGACCCAAAGAGATCCTCTCCCAAAAGAGAAGGGGACGTGCAGTCAAAGGGGAGGGAACAGTAAGGATAATAAATTAATAATCAGAGATTCAGAAATGATGTTCAGCGGAGATTCTTTGTAAGTGGCATAAGACAAGACAATCCATGCCAGACGACGAAGAGCAACAGAAAAGAATCAAGGCAAATTTCACTAAGGTGTGGCTTGCAAAGGGCAAAGTGGCAGAGATAATTGACTCTCGCATACGGTGGAAAGACTGGCCCAACTCAGAAACAGGGAGGAGAAGGCAGGGTTCCCAGCCAGCAGAAGGACTAGTTCCATCACAGGTCACATAATGTTGGAGGGCGAATCGCCGAATTCCGATATTGCATCTTCCGTGGCGTCTTTTGCCTTTCTTGCTTTTTATCATTTATCTGGCAGGTTCATGCAGTAGACCTGAGAGGAAAGGAGGAAGTAAGGCAAGCTGACAGTCAATCATCCACGATGTTGGAGTAATCAATGCTGGTCAGGGATCCTTCGGCCAGACGGAAGGAAGTGTGAGTGGGTTTCATGATGTAATGTTTTATTCTGACTTGCCGGTGGAATAGAAACCAGACTGATGCTCCCCAGAATGGAAATGGAGCCGGGGTCATAAGGACCTGTTTAAAAAAAAAAAAAAAAAAAAAAAAAAAAAAAAAAAAAAAGATTCAGAAATGATGAAAATTAAAAATACCTCTGTAGAGTCTGTATGTATATCTGAACTCAGGTTCCTGCATCCATTTGGATTGACTTTTTTTTTTTTTTTTTCACCATCCTAAGTTCTGGGGATGCTTGGGTTTGTGCTTTCCATCCTTGATTGTTTGCGAACGACTCTCACTTTGACTCTGATGAGAGTTTAATCGACAGTGAAAGTGCTCACCTGAATATTCCAGTGTTTGAGGGTTGCCTTGAGGTCATTCAGCGCAACGATTCCAGTGACATCAATGTCGACGACAGCTGTGAATGGGAACAACATACAAGGTAGGCAATCCATGTCACATGACGTACCATAGCCAATCAACATATGTATATTTACTCAAAACACACAAACACACAAACACACAAACACATAAACACACAAACACACAAACCCACAAACCCACACTGACTTCGGAATTCTGTTGTTAGGTACATAATCTATAGATAGACAGGGTTCGACCTCCTGCTGAGTCAGTTAAAGTTATAAGGAAATAGTCTGCCACAGTCACACTTCTTTTTTTGTTTTTTTCTGCGGAGCTGTGTTTAGTCAACTTGACATAACACAGACACACACACACACACACACACACACACACACACACACACAGTTTTATGTATGTCTTTCTTCCTGTTTTCTTGGTAAATCTCTTTTCCCGTTTTTTTTCCAAGTACTTTTCGGTATGTCTAAGCGAGCACCTCTAAGAAGTCCTAAAGGCTCAGTGGCAGGTTGCCAGCGCTGCCTTGTGCATCGCTCTGTCGTTGCCTTGCTGCCCGTCTGCTTGAGTTGTCGTTCCAATGCAGTTAGCTGTGGTGTTGTGTAGTTGGGCTGCCTCATTAACACATTGTCTGGTGCTTCGCTGAGTCAGTGTGATCTGTTCTTACTTTACCCTTAACTTCTTCGTTGGACAGTGTGATCTGTTCTTAATTTACCCTTAACTTCTTCTTCTTCTTTGGGAAGGCGGGGGGGGGAAGGGGAGCAAGAGTCTTCCATGGTTCGGACTCCGGAGTTGTTGCTTGAGACTGAGGATACCAGGCTTATATTGCAGAGATTGGGATGCTGTTGTGTATAGGCAATGGGGTCGCAAGCATACAATAAATGTGAAGAGGGTACTCACACTTGTAATTTTCTGGACGTACATTATCTTAATTGTGAGTAGTATGCACAAACAAGCTAACAGCATCATTGACCACTCCTACTCATACTTGCAACCGCACGAGCCGCACATTTGTGCGGAGTTCCGTGCGGAGTTCCGTGCGGGGGGTGCTTGTGCTGAATCGTGCAGGTTTTTTATTTTTATTATTTTTATTTTATCTTTTTTGGGGAGGGGGAACGGGAGGGCGTATGACAGGGAGATGGGGATATGGCGAGGAGAGGGGGATATGCAGAGGAGGAGGAGGATGTGGACAAGGAGGACGACGAGGAGGAGGAGTCGAGATGGGGGAGGAGAAGAAATGGACGGAGGGAAAAGAGGAAGGGCAGGAGGAGAGGACGAGTGGGAGGAGGAGGAGACATGGACGGCGAGGAAGGGGAGGACACGAGGAAGGGAAGCAGACGAGGAGGCATGGAAGATGAGGAAGTACGAGGAGGAGGAGGATACAAGGAGGATGAGGAAGGGCAGGAGGAGGAGGAGGAGGAGGAGACGAAAAGGAGAAGGGAGGAGCAGACATGGAGGATGAGGACAGGGAGGAGGAGCAAGGTGAGGCAGTACTCCTGTAATTTTTTTTTTCATCTCGCTTATAATTTTGGCAGGGGACCTCAAACGCACCGTTTCGACCCCGACCTTTTTTTTTCTGAGGGGGGTGACGGATCGTTCTCCGCACACGTCGTGCGCCGCACAGGATCGATTGGGCCCGTGCGCCGCACGTAGGAGACCGCTCGCACGACGTGCGCTTGCATGTATGCTCCTACTACATGGCAGGAGAGAGAAGGAAGAGAAGCAAACTTGAACACACTGCTCCTCTCATGGTTGTGGCCGATTTCAATTGCTGAAGACAAAGCCGGGTCCCGTGGTGACTTTAAATTGCTGAAAATAGGGAGGTGGCGACCCGTAGTCACAGCTAAGGTTCAGTCACAAGATCCCTGCAGTTATGCCTAAGGTTCAGTCACAAAATCCTATGATGGATGCGACCTTCGACAGATGTGAAATCTGCAACTGAACACACTTACGCGACATCTCCAAAACAACAAACTCCACAGGTGCTTGCTCGTTATCTGTCTTCTTTGCCTGCTCGAGTGACTCCACAATCAACTCTCTCACCCTGTTGGAAAGCAACAAGACAATGCACAGTATACATATGTAAGCCGAATACCTTTCTCTTTTTTTTCTTTTTTCCCACCTTGTGTAGACAGTATTGGAATAGTGTAATTACTTATGAGTGTTTACGTATTAAATAAAAGTATTTGAGTTCAAACTTCAAAGACCAGCAAAAGTAATAAAAACGTCTTATAAAAAAACGAAAACAAGAACGGCAGGACCGCGCTAGCGCCAAACCGGTAAGCGCTAATTCACAGCGCTAATCTGCGTTACCGCACCACGACGAGTTTTCTAGCTCTGCGCGTGCACATCACCAAAAGGCTTTGCTATTGAGGAAGGAAGACTCAGAAGCCAGGGAAAAGAAGGACCTATCGAACAAGACAAGGTGAGGACGGGGCGAGTCAACAACTTCCAAGATCTTCATGATTGCGTCCCGAAAGGGGTGAACAGTCTCCTCGAAAGAAAAAAGCTAAGATTCAAAGACACCTTTCGTAGCCTATCCCCGATTGTGCAAGAAGCAACGAACGGACAGCGCAAGGGACAACAAGGAGCAAGCGTCCAAGGCGGGAGAACGACACCACACCAAGAGGACAGTTCCTTCGTCAGCGAACTCACGCCGCACACGGTCGTCAACAGTATCTAAACCGAAAGAGCCTTGTGAGGCAACCAATCCGACAAAGAGATCGCATCCCTTAGAGGTCGAAGCCCAACAGAAGAGTGCCTTATAGTATGCGAAGTAGGAACACCATCATCACAGCCCTCTAAACGTCCTACCCACTGACCCCCCCACCACCACCTTCCCATTACCCCACATCAGACGAAATTCCCGATCTCCATTCCTCATAACAATACCCCTCTTCACTCCTCAACACCTAATCCCCATCCTCCCAGCCCACCCACCCAGCCCCCCCACCCGAACTCTCACGCAGGATCCCAAACCAGTCACACCCTCAGACCCCCTACCCTTCCTCCCCCTTCCCACCCATTTCTCCCACCCTCCATACACCACCCCTTCTCTCCTCCCCGCTCGCTCCTACTCACAGCACCCTCTCATACCACCCCCTCACCATCTCCCATCCCCAAAGCCCCCATTTTTACTCCAAATTTCTCCCCAATCCCACCCATTAATATTCATTATTAATTAATCAATAACGAAGATTGATTATTACTGTTATTATCTCAATATTAGACTATTATTAGTCCTATTTTAATAATACTTTATTATTATTTTATATTAGTCCAACACACCAGCGTCATCTCTAACCTAGCCTTACTAAGGCTAGGCCGGACTGATTTTAGACACTCTTCGGACCCAAAACTCGATCTCCAAGCGGGGAGGGAAATCGCTGGCCAATTTTTCTCGAGCCTCTCAAGCTCATGAACTGCAGAGATGGAGGCAACTTTCGTCCTTCAGGAACGGAGGGCAAAAGCTGTCAAAATCCGGGGACATGTGAACTAATGAAGAGACGGAATTGCATTTGACACAACAAGCAATTTTTCCTAATCTTCACTTTCCCAACCCATCTTCACCACACGCAGACTCTCATCTTGACACAGATTAACAGTCTATGCGGACCAGACACCATCTGAGCATAATCCGTTCCCCAAGAGGGGAGGCTATCCGCTGCCCAAATTTTTCACGGTCCCCCCTCTCACCTGAATATATACCGATCCCCAAGAGGGGAAGGCTAATAATACCAATATTAATTAACATTCAACGATTTGCTTAGATCAAAATCGGTTCTGCTTTTCCTTTTTCTTTTGGAACTCCGGGCACCCAACATCACTCAGCTACTCAACTGCAGGCCTACCCAAAATAGCAAGCTGTACCCAAACTGCTCTTGGCCCCCTGAGATCCCACCAAGCTAGACTCCAAATCAGTACTTGGCGGAAGACTAGGAGGTCTGAATAGCATAGAAGGGGGTAGCAAGGCTAAGCTCCGAAACTAGTATCAATCCCAGCCCCCCAACAGAAACCATCATTTACTGGTTCTGAACGAGAAGCTGGGCACACCAACGATAACAGACAGCATTTCAGAGCCCTGCACAGCAGACAAACAAAAGGTAAGAAAGGCAGATCATACAGCCCAAGAACAGAAGCAAAGACCAATCGGAAAGGACCACCAAGAAAGAAAGGCAAAGGAAACAACCAAAGGAAGAAAGGGATGGCAAGAGAAGGAATGGGGATGGAAACTCAGAACTGGCTCGCAGAGAAGACAAAAGTGAAGATGACTAAAAGGACAGAGTTTGTCGACACGGGAAACGGGGCAAAGGAGGAAGTGGTGATATGAGAATCGCTGCCGTCCCTGGACGATTTCTATTCTAAACACGCAGTTCTCTTCACCTTCTCCAAAAAAAGCCAAGAACTCAACAGGGCGGAAAAGCTGAAATGGCTGTGGGAAAAGCTCAAGAGCATAGAGCCGATCCCGGGAACGGAACCAAAGGTAACATTTCACAGTAGAGGAAGGAACACAATAATGGTTGTCTGCAAAGAAGAAAAACAGGCAGTGTTCCTCAAAAACAAATCCTTCACCTGCAATTCGTCGGTGGTTACGGTCCACCCTTGGTCGCCAGCCAAAGCAGCACAGGCCTCCCCCTCCAGGTATCGACAACAGTTGATATTGAAGTACTTTTGGATTCAATTCGATGGAATACGAGAGGGGCTGCATGGGGCAATCAAGGCAAGACTGCAGGAGGAGTACGGCCAATTCCCGATCGTGGACTGGATCACACCCACTCCGGACTTCCTAGTACCGCAACATGACACCATGATGGCATGCCTAAACACTCAGGGCGCAGTCTCTCCGCAAGTACCAGAAATCTGACACTTTGCAGTCAGAGACCAAATAGTGAAGGTCGTAGTCTCCACTAAAAGCAACCCGCTATGCTTCAAATGCAGACAGAGGGGGCACGTGGGAACAGACCCAAGGTGCCCAAAGAACGCAGACTCAGCAAGAAACAGACCTTTGAAACCAACCAGCCTCGAGGAGGTCGAAGGAGAGCCTGGCTTCTGGTTTGTCAGGGACGCCAAGTACATAGGATGGGTCTTTAATGACAACCTAGAGACCCCGGACTGGGTATGGGTTATGGAAGGGGAGCCAACCCAAAGACCAGACATCTACCCCCCATCTGACAGCAGTTGGCAGGCCAAGAAAGTCGGCAAGAAGTCCACCAAGATTTTCACAACAGACCAGATACTAAACAAAGAAAGAGTGCAAAAGGAGAGAAGGTTAAGAGACCTCCAAATAGACCTGGACGAAACATGTGAACTGGCAGAAAGGAATTGGTTGGAAGTGGTCAAAGAAGGGAAGAGGAACGGAACTCAAGCGGGTACAACAACGAACAACACATCAGGCAGCACGATAGTGCAATACACACGCAACGGGAACTCAAGAACCGGCCAAGAAAAGGAAGCAAATGCAGGAAACGGGGAGACACAAGGACAGGATGTGGAAATGCTCGAGGACAGAAGAAGTGGGACAAAGAGGAAAGGGGGGGAAATCACCAAAGAAGAACCCACCAGAAGGAGAGCCGGAGAGGACTACTATTGCGGGCAAGAAGAAGAGGAATGGGATAACAGGCCCATCGAGGAAATCAGGGAATACATTCAAACAATGAAGGCACAAAGGGCAAGCATGTTTGAATTGCATATGGCCTACGTGAGAGAAGAAGTGAAGGCAAGGGTGGAGGAGATCCCACTCACAGCAAACCCATATGAACCGCTCAATGAAGAAGAGGAAATGACAAAATATTATGCCCAACAATACTGTCGAATCAAGAGGGACCGGGCAAGGACGCAAAAGAGAGGAGTGGGGGATGAAGGACAAGGAGGAAGAGGAGAATGGAGGGAGGACAGATATAGGATGCCCGAACTGCCAGAGACCTACAACAAAAAGGGGGAGGGGAAGAAGAAGGGGAATCAGAGGAGAGAGAAAGAGAAGGAAACAAAGGAACAAAGGGGGAGCAACAAGGGGCAAAGGGAAGAGGGAAGGAAAGAGARCAGCCAAGGAGAGCAGCAAGGACAAGAAGAACAGGCCAATGAAAAAGAAACGTTGCTGCTGCAGTCCGCGGTGTTGGAAGCTCAGGTCCAAAGGTTAGCAGATCTGAATGAGGAAATGAGAGTTACAACAGTCACAGTGGGCTCCTTAAACGACTGCACGCAGGCGGAGTTCTGGAACAAAATTGTAACAACAAGTAAGATGCTGCTACCCTCAAGAACGATCTTGGCAATGATGTTTGATGTGCAGACAGAGGACTGGCAGATAGCAACAGCAACCAATTTCGCTCTCCCCAGACTGGAAAAGGGCCAAAGTATAGAGGAGAGACTTACATCTACGGTCTCAAAAAAAGAACCAGTCAAAGTTGGGATGTTGGGAGAAACACTGAGGGTTCCTACCACGAATGGAAGAGGGACTGAAGGCAAGGAGGAAACCTTGGATGTAAGACCAGTGGTAGCCATATACAGCCCAGGGTCACCCTTAAAAAGCAACCTGCAATGGCGGCCTTGGTGGCAAATCTCACAGCTACCATACACARCCCTGGGCACAAGTGTATTGCCAGAATTACCAGCGGCAAGCCTGGCAATCACCTTYGCCCARAAAATTCACAGGATGGGACAAAGGGAGTTGGGAGACAGGCTGCAGGATCTGCAGGAGGTGGGAGAAGGGGCAACCATGCGAATGATGACTACAACATCCCCTTGAATTAGGCCAGATCATTTGAACCGGTTAGGCTAGAACATTGAACCATGGACCGGGGGGGTGAGCAAAATGAGGGAGGGGAAAGGGAACACCACAGAGCGAAGAAAAAAGCGGAACTAGATATAAGATCATGGAACGTACACGGGCTGGCCACCCTTTTATCAACCCCGGCAAAATGGTTCAGTTTAACAGCTAACCTCAAATGGTTTGACAATAACCCACCAGACATAGTCTACATGCAAGAAACACACCTAACCAACTCCGAGGAGCATAGAGCCATACAGGAAGAAATAGTGAGAAGACTG